AAATGAGGGAGCACTACCCAGAGTTGTTTTCAGACATAGTAGACTTCGAGGATGAAGTCTAAGACAAGTGGGGGAGAATTGTAACGTCTCGTTCCTGTTACACATTTAATTCATTTAAGTATTCATTTTGTATGAGCTACTCGACGAGTTGGTACCCTAACTCATTGAGTAGATGTCAGTTTGGATGTGGGGTTTAAGTGAACTACTCGACGATTCAAGAGCCTGGCCTCCATCACCTTCACACCCTATTTAAGCATCATAATTGGCCTCCACCCTAGCCTCCATCACCTTCACAACCTACTCTCGAAACCCTAACCAACCTTTGAGTGTTATTGAGCTTTTTCTTGCCATTTGTGTGATTTGAAGCTAGAAGAAGGACAAAAACCCTTGGTGATTTAAGAAGAGGTTGTAGATCCAGAACTTGTGTTACATTTCAGACCCTTTGGAGGTATAAATCTTATACCTTGGCTTCTTTTCACTTAGATCTTCTTCTAGGCTTGCATGTTGTTGCTTTTGGACCATTTCCAATGTCATTTCCAAGATTTCAACTTTTGGTGATGTAAGGACTTCATTCTTGAGCTCTAGAAGCTCAAAGTTGCCACCTTTATTCAATCATGGCCCTATTCCATGTTATAAACCACCATTTTTTCTTGGTGTTGGTGTTTTAGCTTCATAAAACCATGCATGCACGTAAAGTTAGCAACTTTACGTGTAATGCTAGCCTAAGAAGTCTAGATATGTGAGTTGGAAGCGTTGGAAATGATTAAAGTCGACTGTATGGATTTATCATATGGGGGACTGGACGAGTTGTTGATGCGACTCGACGAGTCGAGTCGCAGTTCCCTAACCTTTACTGATTTTAAGTGAACCCGTTGAGTTTAGGAAGTGATTCAGCTAGATGGATGTGATTAAGGCTAGGAAACTGAAGATATCGGTGAGTCTGTGAAGGGACTCGACGAGTTGACTCGTTGTATCCTAATTATGTTCAAGATAGAACTCGACGAGTCTATGAAGGGACTCGACGAGTTGACTCAGTTTATCACGAGACAGTATATCATAGAACTCGAAGGATAACTCGACGAGTCGGGTTGACTTGGAGTTGACCTTGACTTTGACTTTGACTAAGGGTAAAATGGTCATTTTACCCTAAGAAGGATTTTTAGATCTTGACTAAGTATTATTGTGTTATTGATAACCAGGGAGTCGTTGGAGCATCTACCAGTGTTGTAAAACTCGCCGAGTTGGTTGATTACTGCTCCGAGTACTCGATACTCGGCCCCTTACCGAGGTGAGTTACATAATCTTGAGTACTCCCTGATCGGCCACTTACTGAACTGAGCAATGTTGTAAAACTCGATCAACTCGGTGATTATATGTATAATATACTTAATGATTTATTATTTAACACACACACACATACATGTGATTATTACTATATATATATATATATATATATATATATATATATATATATATATATATATATATTAAATTTTCAATAATTACTCATGAAGTGAGTCCATTATGTGTTTTTCAGTTTTTGTGTATTCCGATTTATCTAATTTTGTTATATATTTCAATCAACTTGTAGTTTTAACTTATGATTTTGACATATATAATTTTCATAAAAATATTTCTTTATGAATTACTGAATCCGAGTACTCCCCGAGTACCCCCGAGTACTCGCTACTCGGTAGTCGGACGAACAGGTACTGAGTAACGAGTTCTACAGCCTTGGCAGCTAGCAGATATTCCTCACCGTGAGATTTTGCAAACAGCTTTGGGAGGTGAGGTTCTCCTGTAGGAACGGTTCTAAGGAACCAAGGCCAACCTGTTTAGATAGTAGTAGTTTCGGACTATGGTTCGATGACAGGCGAGGCTTGATGTAGATTTCTATGCTTTTTTTGGATCTCGATCAGATTCCAGGGTGGTCCCGAGGAATGCTTGTATGCTTGTATGCTTGATTTCTTTATGATTCTTGTATGTGTTTGTTATGTGTTACTTGTTTTGGACTTAGGTCCGATGCCGGGGCGGTTCCCGAGGAATGTTGGTATGCTTCCGGATTTCGGTCTGATGCTGAGCTGGGCCCGAGAAATGTTTACATGCTAGTATATGTGTTTATGTTATATGTTAGTTGATATATTCATATGTATGCCGAGATCTACTCGATGTCGGGCGGGGACCGATACGGAATATGGCCTGATACCAGGCGGGGCCCGTTGCCGGAAAAGCCAATGTCGAGCTATACTCGATGTAGCAGGGTTGGGGCCCAATATATGATTATATGTTATATGTATGGTATGTGGTAGTTTGGGGGGAGCTTACTAAGCTTAGTTCTTACGATTTTCAGTTTTGGTTTCAGGTACTTCCACTAACAAGGGGAAGGGCTTAGGATGATCGCATGACATGCACCACAGTTTAGCCTGGGATGTTTTAGACTCTAATATTTTTACATGATCTTGATTGTGTACTTGATATGATATTTTTAGATACACGATTTATAATTTTTCTATATGATGACGGTTTAATTATAGTTTTCTTAAATGATTTAAAAAAAAATTGGACTGTCTTTTTGGAGTGTTTCAATAATCTTATAAGTTATACCAACAACTTACAACAATATAAGCAAAGTAGAAACAACATACATCCTACACATATTATATATTATAACCTTCTACTTTTTTTTTTAATTTTTAAAATTTTTTCCATTATAGCATTGTACTATAACTAAACTTAGGAAAATATAACCAAAGTACAAAATCTATTGCCAAATAGATGTAAACATATATGCTACACATATTACATATAACACATTATAACATTGTACTTTTTTCCATTATAACGTTGTACTTTCATAAACTAACATTTACCAACATATCAAACTATAACCAAACTAAAAATATTACTCTACAAGATATAAGAGTATTAGCATTGTACATGCTACCCGTATTATATATTACACATTAGAGCGTTTTGCTTTTTTTTTTTTTTTTTCAATTATAGCATCGTACTTTCGTAAACTAACAATTACCAAACTACAAAATACCAATATATCAAACAATAACCAAGATAACAATTACTAACATATATACTATTACTAAAATAACAATTACCAACATTTGAAAGTATTACTAAACTAACAATTACCAACATTTGTAACAATTACCAACATTGGAAACAATTACCAAAAATTAAATAGTCTTGTTACTTGTTATTGTGGCAGAGGTCGCGTCAGTGGTTGGAATTCAAATAAAGTTTCTATTACCAATCAATACATACATACATATACATACAAATATACATTACATATACATTTAAATACACTTTCTATTATAGCACTGTACTTTTAAAATAAGCCCTTAAAAGTTAAATGATGTTCCAATCAATACATACATACATATACATACAAGTACATACACACAAATACACTTTCCATTATATAATCCAACTTTGTTTTTTTTCATTTTTTCATTATTGCATTGTAGTTTGTAAAATGCTTACAAATACACAAATTACATACATAATTTTCTATACATACAAATACACATATACAAAAATAATACACATGCAAACACACACACACACACATATATATATATATATATATATATATACACACACACATCATACACATACAAATAAACATGTATGATACACATACAAATACATAAAATCACATATACATACATCATACACATCCAAAATACAAATATAATGACATAGCCACATATAAATACACTTCTATTTACACAAAATCAACATATTATTTTAAAAAAATAGAAAAAAGAAAACTTGTAGTGTGGTGACAGTGAAGGTAGATTCCAATAGGAACAATGGCGATGACGGTCAAATGCTGGTGGGGATCGACGACAACACTTCTACCTTGGTGGGGGTCTTAAATTTTCAGAAAAATTCTCGAAAATCCTTCAATAAATAGGTAAATTCAATGGGGGAGAGGAGAAAACAAAAAAGAAAAAGAGAAAAAAATATAGTCTCACCTGTGACATCGCCGTTGAAACCTTTAAGGTAGTCAGTGATGAGCTTTGTTGCTGGAGTGGTGGACGAGGACATGGCTTTGAACAAAGAAAGTCGAGATTTTGCTGAGGAAGAAGGGGAAAATCGAGTGAGGAAGAAGATACAACGAAAAGGGAAAGAACGAGGGAAGAGGGGTATTATCTGCGATGGGTATTGGCGGTGACGAATGCCACTTTAGCGGTGATACTTGTGGATGGAATCTTTGGTGATGTTTTTTTCGAGTATTAGCAGCCACAATGTCGCCGGTAATGCGTCACTGCTAAAAGTTGTGTACGATGTGGATTTCTAGTCGTTGGATTAGACACTAAATCAATGGTTATGATTTCACCACAGTGTGTGACACAGATCGACATCGAAGAGGCTTTAGTGGCGATACATACCTTTAGCGGCGACATACGATACGGAAGTTTTTTGTCACCGATAAATGTATGTGTCGCCACTAAAAGCATCGCTGATAAAGCTTACTATTCTTGTAGTGTATCCTTTTGTACCCTCAAAACATTTAACATTCATGAAAATTAAAAAAATCTTGCAATTTATAACCAAAACCTTATATTATATCACGAGATTTTGATAATAAATAAAATTAAATCTTAATTGTTTATTTTTTTCAATCTTATAGTCAAAATTTGTTCTAGAGGTTCTTACAAATAATTGAATTGCTACATGATCCTAGTATATATATATATATATATATATATATATATATATATATATATATATATATATATATATATATATATATATATATAATTGTGTATAATGATTTTGAGAACAAATTAAATTGATCATATAGGAAAAAGCTATATGTTCATATATAAGAAATCAAATATTTTGGAGATCATTAGGTATTTGATTTTTATTTTATAAATAAGTAACAAATGCAAAAAAATAACAAATCTTTTAAAGCAAAGAAAAACCTGCAAATTATATGTATTTCATAGAATTTAAAAGATACAATACATCTTCCATCTTGGAGCTATTACTAACAATGGCTAGATGGTATGCCTATGTTATTAAACTAGCTATCTTCTTTTCTTTCGCACACAATAAATCCACTAACAATTTTTGTTTTTACAAACTTGAACTCAGAACATAGTCATAAAGTTCGTTTAGTTTGTATACCATTGGAACAAAGGCTTCTATCGGTTATTATTCTATCTTCTACATATACACACTGAAACAATAATTGAAGTCAACATGAAAATGTATAACTAAAATGAAAAGGAGAAAAAGAAAACTTATTCATATTAATATATATGATGTTTTAAGTGCAGGGTGGCCTATTTGGAGGCGGTGGCAACATCGATTCCCCAGCCCTACTACCATTCTTTGTAATGAACACCGCCTCCATTCCCCAACTTATATGACGCTCGAGATGACAATGCATTAACCATACTCCTGTAAGAAAAAAAAATGATTAATTAGACTAAAGGCAACGATAACTCTTTGAACTCTATAAAGTTATATATCACATTATTATTCTCTTTTTCATACAACTCTACAGGAGTTCAATATAACATTTTTTTTAAACTAAAAAAAGTTTTTATCCATTTAAAAGTTTATTAGTTATTGGACTTTATAATTGAATGCCACTATGCATGAAAGCTCACACTATGGTTGAGTTTAGTCTATTAAATTAAATGAAAACCAAACATTTTGTCATTTCACCCGATTCAACTATTTTATTTTAAACATGGAATTTTGAATTGAATACGGTGATTTTTAACATCTATATATCCATAATATCTATTTATAATCATTTCCGTTTAAAATATAATTTTTTTTTTCTGTTTTTTTGAAGAATGATGCATGCATGGCTAAATTTATAACTGATGATTCACTGGTTTAAAATGATCTGTTAACTCGTTACCTTCATAAAGAATATAAACATAAATAATGTATCCAAAAAAATGCTAATGTGTACTTGATGACTAATTTAATATTATAATTTTTTGACGAAATGAAGTAGTTATCATTATATGATCAATGTTCATGCTTCAAATATACTATTTCCGAAAATAATCTCACCAGGGTTATCAGCCTTGAATCTAATTGCAGTCCAACCATTTTTAGGAACTGCAATGGTTTGTTGAAGAGGAGGATCAACAAGATTATAACTCAAGGTATCCTTACTCCTATTAAAGTTGCCAAATCCCCATCCAACAACGTAAAAACTATGTCCATGCAAATGCATTGGATGATCAATTCCTCCAACCAAGTTTGTTCCTTGAAACACTAATTCTACTGTGTCGTTGTACTCGAGTACTTTCACCTCTGTAGCATTCAACGGAGTCTCCAACGAATTATTTAAATTATTCGCGGTGAAGTTAAAAAACAAAGGTGGGAAATTTGGGAAGTCGTCTCCGTAAACACCAGTGATTCGTCCATAGTAAGCATCAAGTATAGAAATATTTGGTGAATGAAACGTTATGTTGTTTACACTTGCTGCAAACCTCAAACCCCTAGGTCCTAAACAGGTGTTATCAGCACATGGCACTGTGTTCAACGAGATGGTGAACAAGAAGTTATGTGTGATCTTCAATGGAACATCAATAGGATGAGCACGACTAGCTAAACTCCTAAGGCTACCAGTGAAGTTAACAGATGCACTGGTACTATTAACCTTAGGAAGATGGGGAAAAATTGGTTTCCTTGAAGATTTTTTGTAGCCTTTGTACTCGATAATGGCTGTGGTGGTGGTGTTATCGAAACTAATCGCTGGTTGGCTATTATAGGGTTTAGCCGCAATGTAATATTGACCTATTGGTTGGTTGGCTGTGAATAAGAGATCAATGGTTTGTCCAGGAGAGATGGTCACGTAGTCGCTTTTTAGTGGTTTGGTGTATGCACCATCGGTTCCTACAACAGTAACTTCATGGTCACCAATCGCCCAAAACATAAAGAGATTCATAGCAGCATTGACCATTCGGAGCATATATGTCTTTCCTTGTTCAACAATGAACTTTGTTGTTTCTGAAAACATAGATAA